GTTTGAATAGACTAAAATGAACAGCTTTGTATTAATTTTAAAAAAAACATGGCATGCTAGCTACATCCTGGTGGCGCAGTAGACTAATTCCATGGATAAAGAACAGAATGTCATAGGTTTGAATCTCAATGATGCCGTGCCACAATAAAAAATTAATGTGTTTTCATGATTAGTGCTTAAGCAATGTGTCTTATCTGTGCTTGGAGTTCAAAACACTTAACCTAAGATAGCAGTGTTATTGAAACATGTTCTCAGAATGTTATTTAATTACCTTTAAATAACCTACAATTTACGTTCTCAGAACGTTAATAAAACCTCCCAGGAAAACGTTCAGGGAACCATAGTAAAACGTTCTCAGTATCTCCCAGCAACCAAAAATGAACATTCACAGAACAGGCGAAGTTATCACTTCTGTTCTCAGAATGTTTCAGTTTTACCGGTCAGGAAACGCATGGCTTGTTCCCAAAACCAATGGGAAACCAAAAACGTATGTTCCCACAACTTCCAAGGAACCAAATGTGCTCGCTGGATTGTAATTTGCTCAAGGAGGACACAGATTCTATTTTATCTGAACAAAATATAGGCCTAATTTGAAAGCTCCCATTGAAAAAGCCAATTAATTTTACTTTCGTTGACCTATGCGTTTTTGCACATTAGGCCTAGGCCTATGTATGTTCCCCTTTATGCATTTGCAGAATTTATGTTGCTATTGTGCTGTAGAATTACCCTAGTAGCCTATTTGTTAAAGACTCACCAATGTCACTTTGTACCTAATAGGCCTACAAGAAGATATGCCTATGCGCACTTAGCTCGCTTCTGTGTTTGTTAAACCGTCATCTAAACCTAACCTACTCTCAGACAATCATTTGGTTTATGAAACTTTTTTCAGCAGTTTACATGGTCCGTTAATAGTTATGCATGTTGTACTTCAGGTCCTAGGGGTAGGCAACGCGCCTGATTGGTGCCCATTAATTACCAGTTTGAAGGCGCCAATTCTGGCGCAGTGGTTTAGGTTTCTCCCTATTCGTTATTCTTAGGTGACATCAATGTATAGTCTCTGTATCATTAGAGTTGATTAAGCAATTTTGTTCTATGCTGATTCATTTTTTAATGTCATTTCATATTAGTGTATCAGATCTAGGCTAGATGTAGCTTTTCTTATTTTCTTATTTATCTGGATCCATTTTTAGGCCTATATATTCGAGTCGACTGCTGAACATTATTAATTTGCTGTAAAAATGCCTGACTTCACCAGAAGACTGTTGTCCAGCCAGTGCCAATTCCTGACATATCCCTTGGCCATGAGACACCTAGTCTATTCTTTCACACCATCTGTATAAATGTATATGGCCCTGGTCTCTCAGCTTCCCATTTGTGTATTAAAGGATTCAGTCCAGTTGATATAGTGAAGTAGAGGGGAGCATTCATTGTTGATTGATTCGGTCCAATATGGCATTGATTATATCTCACTTATTAATATCATGTAGCCTAACTCTGTGTTATTCAGTGGTCACAGTTAAAAATGTAATACGGAAAAGTATGTAAAATGAACCAAATAGGCCTAATGAAATGTTAACATTTTAACGATCATAAACCACTCAATTTGAATGATTGGAATAGCCTTCAAATTAATTCAGATAGTTTCATATTACATTAGACATGTCTAGGGCTAGGCATATAGTGATTGCATTATTTAAACTCACCAAAAAAAAAAACGTCCTCTCACTGTCAACTGCGTTTATTTTCAGCAAACTTAACATGTGTAAATATTTGTATGAACATAACAAGATTCAACAACTGAGACATAAACTGAACAAGTTCCACAGACATGTGACTAACAAAAATTGAATAATGTGTCCCTGAACAAAGGGGGGGTCAAAATCAAAAGTAACAGTCAGTATCTGGTGTGGCCACCAGCTGCATTAGGTACTGCAGTGCATATCCTCCTCATGGACTGCACCAGATTTGCCAGTTCCTGCTGTGAGATGTTACCCGACTCTTCCACCAAGGCACCTGAAAGTTCCCGGACATTACTGGGGGGAATAGCCCTAGCCCGCACCCTCCGATCCAACTGGTCCCAGACGTGCTCAATGGGATTGAGATCTGGGCTCTTCGCTGGCCATGTCAGAACACTGACATTCCCGTCTTGCAGGAAATCACGCATGAGGGAGGAGGATCTCTTCCCTGTAACGCACAGAGTTGAGATTGCCTGCAATGACAACCAGCTCAGTCCGATGATGCTGTGACACACCGCCCCAGACCATGACGGACCCTCCACCTCCAAATTGATCCCGCTCCAGAGTACAGGCCTCGGTGTAACGCTCATTCTTTCGACGATAAATGCGAATCCGACCATCACCCATGGTGAGACAAAACCGTGACTCGTCAGTGAAGAGCACTTTTTGCCAGTCCTGTCTGGTCCAGCGACAGTGGGTTTGTGCCCATAGGCGACCTTGTTGCCGGTGATGTCTGGTGAGGACCTGCCTTAAAACAGGCCTACAAGCCCTCAGTCCAGCCTCTCTCAGCCTATTGCGGACAGTCTGAGCACTGATGGAGGGATTGTGCATTCCTGGTGTAACTCTGGCAGTTGTTGTTGCCATCCTGTACCTGTCACGCAGGTGTGATGTTCGGATGTACCGATCCTATGCAGGTGATGTTACACGTGGTCTGCCACTGCGAGTACGATCAGCTGTCCGTCCTGTTTCCCTGTAGCGTTGTCTTAGGCGTTTCACAGTACGGACATTGCAATTTATTTCCCTGGCCACATCTGCAGTCCTCTTGCCTCCTTGCAGCATGCCTAAGGTACGTTCACGCAGATGAGCAGGGACCCTGGGCATCTTTCTTTTGGTGTTTTTCAGAGTCAGTAGAAAGGCCTCTTTAGTGTCCTAAGTTTTCATAACTGTGACCTTAATTGCCTACTATGTGTAAGCTGTTAGTGTCTCAAGGACCCTTCCACAGGTGCATGTTCATTAATTGTTTATGGTTCATTGAACAAGCATGGGAAACAGTGTTTAAACCCTTTACAATAAAGATCTGTGAAGTTATTTAGACTTTTACGAATTATCTTTGAAAGACAAGGTCCTGAAAAAGGGACGTTTCTTTTTTTGCTGAGTTTATAATCAGATGCATATTGAGGCTTTTTATTAACCAACAGATGGCGATATTCACCTATGCTCACCATTTTATAGGCGAGTCGATGTCAACAGTGGATTGACTGGCTGCACTGACGGCTCTACACTCTTTTCTCCAATTATGGAATGGCTAGTGTATGGTTTGCACTGTGAGCAGCACAGCAGATAGACAATTTAGGCTCCGTCTCATTTTTCTGCATGCGCATACGGCAGCATTGATACGAGACGATCTGATTAGATTTTCTGTGTGGAAAAGGGAACAAACACAGGCTTTCATCGAATTGGTTGGAAAGCGCACACGTCTATACAGAAATGCAATATTGTATAGCGTATAGCTATTCTCTGTGCGCATAGGGTTGTATATCGCTAAAATTAGTGTGGCGTTTTGATCGGCGATAGCAGCTTTGGTTTTGACTTGGGGATATTCCCATAACATATTTTGAACGTTTACATGTTCAACCCATGCTCTCTGTGACCCCAAGAATAATGGAATATTGTGAATTATAGTGGAGTAGACTAGTCCTACGAAATTAATCAAGACAATAGGCTATTTTGATTCAATTGAACAAAGAATCAACAATCAAAATCTTGCGAATAGTGTCATAGCCTATCTTGTAGGATACAGTATGCAAAAAAAAAGCTTACAGTTCGTGTAACGTGTGCAATTCACTTATTTATTTAGCCAAACATCAACACTGTATGCCTACGAAGAAAGAAAATGTGTCTGAGAAAGTTTAATAACAAAATGTATCTACTTGTCATCACCGAAATCCACGTTGAAATGCAGAAGTTCCACTGCCTTGCTGCTGCTGCCTGGTTGTGGCCACTGCACTATTGAGCACAGCATCATCGCGCGCTCAGACGCACGCGGTTATCCTACGAGCTGGAGTCCCGAGAGCACTCTGGCCGGTTCGTTTTGTCTCCTTGTGATCTCTTATCCTTGCCTTTTGTTTAGTTTTTACACTGAAAGGAATCATTCTGTGGTTGATGGTTTCGGCTGCCTGTCGTAAAATTGGAGTACTTTTGGGTCGGAATGTTTTACGCATGAAGGCAGCTGGATGTGTTCTGAATGTCGGACCTCATGCCACCGATGTTTTCAATGGATTTGAATAGAGTGGAAATACCTTCGGAATAAAATCACGAAGTTTTTTTTCTATACGTTCTATAAATTCCATTGTAACAAGGCATCACACGGATAGAAACGCAATGATCTTCGTCACTCTTTATGTCGTTCTGCCTCTTTTAGGTAAGTTTTAGTTTCAAGGCCAATTCTGCAAATGCCTAGTGTAAACATACAATATATAACCATATTTGTAAATGGACAATGATAAGCAGTCAGAGGGCAGCTGAGATAAATAAATAGCAAACTTGGTGGTCGTTATGGAGAGAAATGGGCAATCCAAATGCGTGCCATGCCCACAGACTAGTGAAAAGTAAATTATGAGCTCATGTATCCCAATCGAAGTGAATTGAGTTCTGATTCTGAAATGGACATAACTAAAGACAGTGGCAATTCATTATTTGTCTCTCATAACCTATATACCCTTATTATAGCCAACGTTGCAAAAGCATGTACTTCATATTTAATAACTTTACTTATCCTCTGCTGATTTATTTAATGTTGCACACATCGATAGGGTATGAAATGCATTGAACGCTAGTCTGTGACTAGTAGTCTATGAAATGTTTGTGTTGTTATTGTCACTTAATTGCATGGAATTGAGCAATAAAATACGATCAATATTTTAATCTTTAAAGCTGCTTTCATTTAGTTTAATCTCTGAATATTTATTGTGACTAAATCGCGTATAGCGGACAATATTTAACATATAAACGACAGAAACATTATTATTATTATTATTGTTAGGTCTATTATTATTCATTCTCTCCACAGATGTTTTGTATGCCCAGGAGAATGCCCTTTCTGGTCCCAACCGCCTCGATTGTGTCAAGGCGAGTGAGCAGTGTATGAAGGGGCAAGGATGCAGTACCAAGTATCGGACAATGAGACAGTGCGTTGCTGGAGGGAAGGAGAGAAACTTTAGCATGGTGGCTGGACTGGAGGCGCAGGACGAATGTCGGAGTGCCATGGACGCAGTCAAGCAGAGCCCCCTGTACAACTGCAGGTGTAAAAGGGGCATGAAGAAAGAGAAGAACTGCCTTCGCATCTATTGGGGAATTTACCAGACTTTGCAGGGTATGCACTATCATTACAGTTGGCTACAACACAGCAACCACACAATAATTGTCAGAAGTCAATAAAGATGTTTTTAATCCAAAACTCCCATACCTGCTGTAATGTATTAACGGACCATGTAAACTGCTAAAGCAAAAACAGATTCAGGAAGAAAACACCACATTATTAGGTGCGTAAACTTCCCTGCCAGTGCATACTGGGAATGGTAATGTCCTTAAGACATCTCTTGGAATGAATCGAGTGTAAAGCTCCTTTGCACTCATCATCTTATAGTTGATCATACACAAAAATTGTACTGCTTAATGCCAGTGGCCAGTGGGGCAGAATGGGTTCTCAGTTGCGCAACTGACCGATATGCCTAATCAACTGTAGGCTAATGAGTTGTAGGGCAGCATGGAAATTGACTGACCCAGATATCCATCCCATGTGTCCTTGCATGGCTGCGTGTCGGCTGTGTTTACACAGGCAGCCCAATTCTGATATTTTTTTCACTAATTTGTCTTTTTACCAATCAGTTCAGAAAAATATCTGATGTGAAAATATCTGATGTGATTGGTTAAAATACCAATTAGTGGAAAAAATATCAGAATTCGGCTGCCTGTGTAAAGGCAGCTGTTAGACAGCCAGCCCAATTATGATCTTTTTTTCACTAATTGATCTTTTGATCAATCAGATCAGATCTTTTCACATCAGATCTTTTTCAGAGCTGATCTGATTGGTCAAAAGAAGTCTAAACGCAGCCCATGGTAGCTCACAAACATTTAGTGAAAACAATAACCCAAGTGCATGCTCTTTAAATGAAATCTATCTATCTAGCTATACTGAACAAAAATATGAACGCAACATGCAACAACTTCAAAGATTTTACTGCGTTACAGTTCGTATAAGGAAATCAGTCAATTTAAATACATTCATTAGGCCCTAATCTATAGATTTCACATGACTGGGAATGCAGATATGCATCTGTTGGTCACAATATCTATTTTTTTATGTAAGGGTGTGGATCAGAAAACCAGTCAGTATCTGGTGTGACCACCATTTGCCTCATGCAGCACGACACATCTCCTTCGCATTGAGTTGATCAGGCTGTTGATTGTGGCCTATGGAATGTTGTCCCACTCCTCTTCAATGGCTGTGTGAAGTTGCTGGATATTGGCGGGAACTGGAACACGCTGTCGTACATGTCGATCCAGAGCATCCTAAACATGCTCAATGGGTGACATGTCTGGTGAGTGTGCAGGCCATGGAAGACCTGGGACATTTTCAGCTTTGTTTCAGAACATTCAATTATCTGGCAACAGCTCTGGTGGACATTCCTGCAGTCAGCATACCAATTGGACGGCCCCTCAAAACTTGAGACATCTTGTGTTGTGTGACAAAACTGTACATTTTAGAATTGCCTTTTATTGTCCCCAGCACAAGGTACACCTGTGTAATGATCATGCTTTTTAATCAGCTTCTTGATATGCCACACCTGTCAGGTGGATGAATTATTTTGGCAAAGGCGAAATGCTCACTAACAGGGATGTAAACAAATTTGTGCACAAAATTTGAGAGAAATACGCTTTTTGTGCGTATGAAAATATTCTGGGATCTTTTATTTCTGCTCATGAAACATGGGACCAACACTTTACAAGTTGCGTTTATATTTTTGTTCAGTGTATCTGGTTGTCTGCAACATTTACATGCCTATTAAAACTGCAAGAGTATGTTAAAAATCACATTGTATTTCATTATTCCTTTCAGGGAACGATTTCCTGGAGGACTCTCCTTACGAGACCATGAATAGCCGCCTCTCTGACATATTCCGACTGGCCCCCATTATTTCAGGTAAGGTCATGAATTTATTAAGAGTTTATGATGGTGCCACTTATTGCGAAGTTCATGGATGGACGCCTGGCTTCTTTGTGAATGTATACAGATTAAATGCTGGCTGTGCATGATCTTAGTACAATTGTGTTTAAAACATTTTACAATCCTCACACTTTCCCTATTTCGCCCCAATGAAATGCATGCCCATTGTAAGTGATCTTGCATGGAGATCTATAGTTCTGAGTGTTCACTGAGAGCTCAACACAGTGTGGTGGTGTGGAGTTGGAAAAATTGAAAAATGCGTCGGGTTGCAGCATAGTTTATTGGGCTGTGTTTAAGTCATACATCCTCTGTTTAAATCGTACATCGTGGTCAACAATTCGATCTGCACATTGGTAGTTTATGAGCCACCTCTAGATGGCAATATTCTCCCTTATTTACGATCGCACAGGCGCAATCCATTGATGCTATAGTGGCCTTTCTGACTTTACCTTGGTCTTTGTTGAGAGGAACTCCCATCCAGTGCGCGTGAGGTGGCATATTGTGTGGCTGGAATAAGAGAGTTTGAGATTTGTTTAATAAGCACATGGAAATGTTACACAGAGATTTGGCTCTATTTAGATTTGCAATGGGATTGTGAATATAAAGGGAAGGTGCTTCTTATTTCCTTTTGAAAAGCTCTTTATGTTGATTGACGTTTGCAAATTATTTCTTAGCGATGGGTCCCACAGATCATCCATTCCTCCTCATTACGGGATATTTATGGGCCAGGCAGGGTAAGGGAGAATAATAAGGGTGAGAGGGGAGACAGGACGGGTGTCAGGGAGGTTTAGGTCAACACAGTGCCTCTCACAACCCATACTCCCAGGCAGCCCTATAACATGTATGTCTCAGTAAGGCTTAAAGGACTCATAGTAAGGAATAAAGGGAGGCATTGTGAGATGTAATGAATCTGTAATAGGCCCCTGCTTGGGACCTGAGCCTCATAATCTCCAGTGACATTGGGCATTCTCCTCAGAACCCTCCTGATTATAGTGAGGTTTATTCCTGATCTTTCCTACACACCCCCAGGCCCCACAGTCCTCATTCCCACCTCTACTCTGGGTACTGTAGGCCTCTGATGGACTAAACCAGACATAAAGCTGGAACAATATCAGTGAAGCTTATAGGGTACACAGCTGCCTTAAAGCACACTGGATGTCCTTTATTCTTATTAAGAGAAAATAAAAGAATAGTATTAGAACAGCAGCTGAAATGTTTAAGAGGATGTGGAGAGCTCCGAGCGTGATTGCATGAACATTCACACACACACTTTTTCAAACATGCAATACCAGTCAAAAGTTTGGACACACCTACTCATTCAAGGGTTTTTCTTTATTTTTACTATTTTCTACATTGTAGAATAATAGTGAAGAAATCAAAACTATGAAATAACACATGTGGAATCATGTAGTAACCAAAAAAGTGTTAAACAAATCAAAATATATTTTATATTGGAGATTCTTCAAAGTAGCCACCCTTTGCTTTGATGACAGCTTTGCACAGCACGGACATGTGCGTACACACACATACACATACACACACACACACACACACACACACACACACACACACACACACACACACACACACACACACACACACACACACACACACACACACACACACACACACACACACACACACACACACACACACACACACACAGTTCTTAGTTAATTGAATTATTTTGAAATATTTTCTCCAGGCAGATATAATGCTTTTAGCCTTATGTTGAGTCAGGGTGAGTCACTTTGAAGTATGAGTAAGTCAGTCTCTTAATGTGGTGGAAGCTGCCACATGAGAAACGTCAGTAGAGTGTACATCTCAGGAACAGAACATGTCATCTCATTTTGATTTGATCTAGATTTGCCATTTAAGTCACATGGACATTACTATGAGTGCAAAACAAACGTACAAAATCTTGAAACACAAATTAATGAAATCTGCAGATAGCAAATGTATCACATCAGTGACCACAACATGCTTCTTTGCTGGAGCTGAGTTATGTATTTTTCTACTTCTTCTTTTAATACAAGCGGTGCAGCTTGTTTCTTTCCCCTCCATTTCCTCATAGAAACCCTAAGTCTCTCTCAGTGAGAACTACCTGTATTGATGTCTGTTTCCACTCGATTAATGGCTCATTGAATGCTTCTGGGCTTCCGCTGTCTGCAGAGCTCATTGCTTCTTATTATCATGAAGAGCCAATGCTGTTGTCTGTGCGCCAGGCTAGGGTATTTGTGAAACATACTCAGTTTGGAGTGGTTCCTGTGTCAAGGTTCACAAAAGCCACAACTGCTGTCATAAGACAGACATGGTGAGTCATCTCATTCAAGGGATGTGCCCTTCTTTAAATATGTTTGAAAGTAAATGGTTTACTCACACAGAGTCACACATGTTTCAATTACATGCTGAGTTCACCCCAGTGCACCTGCTCATGGATGAAGTACCAGATAATTTAAATTCATTTTGTACATTCCTTTGTGTGTTTGCATGTGTGTGCGCGTGAGCAAGAACACGATGGAGAAATAGAGGAAGAGAATTCAATGAAATGGTTCCTTTTCCGCCCACCAGTTTGCCATCTTGTGATGCACTGATGCATAGAGAAGGCAGTGAGAGCCCATTTCTCTTACATTCAAGTGGACTTGCATTACTCCCAGACCATTTGCCCCTGCTGAAGAGGCAAGCAGTGGAGGAAATGGATGAATACACAGCACAGTTTCATATTACCATAGTCATGAACACTCACTGGTCTGGAGCCTCTCATACTGACCAATGTAAATACTTCCTTCGATTTTGAGAACTAGAATAACAAAGGTTTGTTTGCTGTATGTGTGGAATAACATTGGAGGTTGACTCCTCAAAGTGTAAACCAAAAAGAGTTGTTGATGTACTGCAGTTTAAAACTGAGGAAATTACAAAATGGTCTGGCTTATCGCCACAGAGATATAGCTATGGTACAATCACTCTGTAGATAAACCCCTTTTAAATGTCAGCCAATTGTCATTTACTGTTCAGAGCGTCAATAAGAACAATGAAACCGGAGGGAAAATGTGACACAAAATGTATTACCGAGTCTTCTGTGCAGCAGGGGCTGGCTGGACTGAAATTGCTTAAATGATGAGGTAGCGGTGAAGAACATCAAAAAATCTGGGAAGTACTACTATGAATAAAGATGAGTTTCTATATCACTCCATTATTTTCTGAGACCTGTATACGACCTTTCCCCATTACATTTTTGTGGTTTAAGCTGATGACAGATCATGATGATGATTATGAGGTCAGCACATAAACACACAATAGTGGCATTTAAATCATTTAAAGGATTCTCTCTGAAGTCCTTGAGCTGTGAATGTGTGAAAACACCTGTAGTCCCAACCTTGCAGACGGACCACACAGCACCTTAAATCCCCATACTGACACGATGCTGAGAGCCTGTCAACACAGCTCACTGCTGTTGGAATGCCACTTTTATAATGAACTCAGAGCCCAGCAGTGTATGAGAACAGACTGCTACTTGGGTTCTTATAGAGTGAGAGGAGGGAGAGGAATGGGAAAGAGAACGGTATATGTGTTGTTTGGACTCAGTAGTACCTCTGCACTTTATGATGTGTTGGTAGAAGTATTATGACAGCTCCAACCCTGGATTCCTCGAACCAACCAAAACCCCTCTCAATGTTATTGCTTTGGTGTTTGACTCTCTGTACTTTCCCCAACTGAAAATGTTTGTGTGAGAGAAAGAGAATATAAAAAGGAGATGTCTTTGATGGTAGCATTTCCATATCAATATTCCCTGTGCCACCTGAAAAACAAATGTCATTAAAATGGCTACTTTGATAAAGCAGCTCCATTTCCCCTGTCTGGCTGTTTGTGTCAGGATGTGTCAATCACAGGCCAAGCCTGGGCCTTTGATGTCTGGGTACAGTGGTGCTCTATCTGTCAGAGTTGTGGCCTCAGCCTCCTCAGTGAGCACTGACTGAGATAGGAGTTCTATGTTAACGTTCCCTTGCTCCCTCCTTCCTACTTTACAAGGGTTCTTTGTTCTGCTAAAGACTCCCAAATCCTCCTAGAATTTGATGTCGTAGGGAGACTTCACATCTGAAAGCTAATCAATAGCCAGACATGTTAAAATAGAAACCTGAGGCTGTGCATACAAAAAACTATTGATTTGTCTTTTCGCCCGAGCTCTTCTGTTGGACTGGATCAAAGGATAATCCCTCTGTTGCTGGAGCTCAGGTATACGGTTCCACAATGCACATCGGTCTGGAGGAGTCGGGAATCTCCACGGATTTGTCTTGAATCCTCCACTCTCATCTGCTGTCTTAGAAGATTTAGGGCAGGGGTTCCCAAACATTTTTGCTGTGCGACCCCAATTTGATATACACAAAAAATTGCGACCCCACCATGTGAAGAAAGTGATGTAATCAACAGCCAATGTTTACTTTTTTAATTAGGGCTATGACAGTTTATTACAAATCAGTCTGACAGCATATATATTTCAATCTTAAAGAAGTATGGGTTGAAGTGACTGAAATGTATCAGAAAGGTATTGGGAAGTTCAGAAGATCCTCAGGCAATAACTTTGTATGACCTTCTGTGTAGAAAAGAACATCATCATTGATAATGTTCTTTCCCCCCCACTCTGATTTAGTGCCTGGTCTTGTCCACTCTGTTCTAATGAGCCCTTGTGGGCATTGTAGAGGGAAACAGAAGAGGTGGATGTGTTCCTCGGCAGGTAGCTTAGTGGTTAAGAGTGTTGTGCCAGTAACCGAAAGGTCGTTGTGCCAGTAACCGAAAGGTTGCTGGTTCTAATCCCCGAGCTGACTAGGTGAAAAATCTGTCGATGTGCCCTTGAGCAAGGCACTTAACCCTAATTGCTCTGGATAAGAGCGTCTGCTAAAATGTAATGTAAATGTTATCTTTCAGTGATGGGGTCATAATATTTTGTTATTAAACCATTAGAAAGATATAGCCACATTTGTAGGAAGACAACAGATACCGCTCTGTTTATTGTAACCGCATCTAACGACTACCGGAAGTTATTTACTTAATGATTCGGTTCTATGAACCAAGCACAAGTTTCTCTTGCGACCCCATTTCCAAATCAGGCGACCCCTAGTTTGGGGAACGCTGCTGTAGGGATTGATTATAATATTAGATCTCTATGAAGGTTTTTTAAACTCCTTCAAATACCACAGCTACGCATAACTTCCTGTATGTCTGTTTTTGTCTGTCCATCTGACTTTCATCCAAAAGTCTACAGCTGTCCCTTCAAGTCACACAGAGGATTTAGCCACAGGTCGAGGGGCTTTAGCTGCTTAATACACACACACCGTTCCAGACATTACTCTCACAGCTGCAGCCTAATGACAGAATAATGCTAACAGAAGCATCAGGTTGCAGCCTTGTCCCTGCCGCTAGCTCTATGCGGCCAAAAAATAATTTAGTTAAAGGTGACCAGAATGGAGTCCTCCTGGGAGGTTTCTGATTGGATATAAAGTGGGAGAGTGATTCATCATAGTTAATCAATGCTCCTGACAGCTCGAATCAGCAGGGGCGCCACATGTGCCAGCTACCTCTAATGCTTTTCTGCCAGATGGCAAATTATCCATACGGCAAACAGTGAGGTGTCAGTCTAAAGTCAGATAGATGTCGTGAGTAACCATGTTTAATCAAATCTTCACTGTCTTCATACAAAAAAAGAATCATACAGTTTTAGGCCTACAGTTTTAGTTGTTTGGTACAAGAACATTTTTTTTCATTGGTTGGGATTCAATTGATTATTATGCAAAGGCATACATACTGTATCATAGGATACTTTTCTTGGATGGGCAAGTCCTTTAAGTGACCACTGGCAGGTGTCAGACTCAGAGATGTTAGCCTTGGGTAAAACTACAGTCCTAAGCCCTCAAATGAAGTGACAGAACATACACTAAATGACCAGAAGTATGTGGACACCTGCTCGTCAAATATATCATTCCAAAATCATGGGCATTAATATGGAGTTGGTCCCCCCTTTGCTGCTATAACAGCCTCCACTCTTCTGGGAAGGCTTTCCACTAGATGTTGGAACATTGCTGTGGGGACTTGCTTCCATTCAGCCACAAGAGCATTAGTGAGGTCGGGCACTGATGTTGGGCGATTAGACCTGGTTCGCAGTTGCGTTCCAATTCATCCCAAAGGTGTTCGATGGGGTTGAGGTCATGGCTCTGTGCAGGCCATTCAAGTTCTTCCACATCGATCTCGACAAACCATTTCTGTATGGACCATGCTTTGTGCATGGGGGCATTGTCATGCTGAAACAGGAAAGGGCCTTCCCCAAACTGTTGCCAAAAGGTTAGAAGCACAGAATCGTCTAGAATGTCATTATACTGTATGCTGTAGTGTTAAGATTTCCCTTCGCTGGAACTAAGGGGCCTTAACCATGAAAAACAGCCCCAGACCATTATTCCTCCTCCACCAAACTTTACAGTTGGCACTATGCATTCGGCAGGTAGCGTTCTCCTGTCATCCATCAAACCCAGATCCGTCTGTCGGACTGCCAGATGGTGAAGCGTGATTCATCACTCCAGAGAACGCGTTTCCACTGCTCCAGTCCAATGGCGGCAAGTTTTGCACCACTCCAGCCAATGCTTGGTATTGTGCATGGTGCACATGGTGGTTTGTGTGCGGCTGCTTGGACATGGAAACCATTTCATGAAGCTCCCGACGAACAGTTATTGTGATGACATTGCTTCCAGAGGCAGTTTGGTACTCGGTAGTGAGTGTTGCAACCGAGGACAGACGATCTTTACACACTACACCCTTCAACACTCTGCGGTCTCATTCTGTGAGCTTGTGTGGCTTACCACTTGGCGGCTGAGCCGTTGTTGCTTCTAGACGTTTCCACTTCACAATAACAGCACTTATAGTTGACCGGGGCAGCTCTAGCAGGGCAGAAATTTTATGAACTGACTTGTTGGAAAGGTGGCATCCTATGACGGTACCACGTTGAAAGTCACTGAGCTCTTCAGTAAGGCCATTCCACTGCCAATGTTTGTCTATGGAGATTGCATGGCTGTGTGCTCGATTTATACACCTGTTAGCAACGGGTGTGGCTGAAATAGCCGAATCCAATAATTTGAAGGGGTGTCCACATACCTTTGTATATATTGTGTACATGTAGATGTTGATCCCTTTTTAAGGCTGCAGCTGTTTGTTTTTTTCAGCTGAGAGGGAGGTAGTGGTTTGTCTCTGTGTGTCTGTGACTCTTCTAATCATGACTGGTAATGTTTTGTTTTAGTGGTAGATCAGCTTTAATTTTGTAGATTGATTGTGGGTTCTATCAATTTCATTGTTTGCATCATTTCTAGTCCCCCTTATTTTTTATTTATAAAAATAAATAATCAACCCTACCACCCCTCTCCTGATTGGAGTAAACTAACAGACAACCATACTTCTACTGCTATTTACAACTACTTTCGCTCACATGTACAGTACATGTAGTTAAATAATTATACATATAGTCTTATTTTCCTTTTTCTGCAAGTGCTGGATTTTCATTCACCATTCATCTTAACTCCACAGATTAACCCAACTTTCCCAGTATAATGCCATTTTGCAAAAATCTTTTGCAATACATCCCTCCATTTTACTGTGATGTCTTACGAGGGTCTTGAACCTCCCTATTTGTAACATTTCTACTGATATTGCCCTCAAAATAAATACTTTACCCATGAGTATAATGACATTTCCCATTGACTGATTGTGTTTTTTCCGATCACCTAACAATACAGTTATGGCTGGTAATATTAGTAGTCTTCTGATTGTACAGGACGTTTGTGCTGCAGCACTTGTCTTGAGAGAACCCCCCAACTTTTAATAACAGTTTCAGTCAAGAAACTTCCTGGAAAACAAAAGTCCATGAAAATATACATCTCTCCGGTATCCAGCTGTTTTTGGCTTTGTGCCATTCTTGATCTCAAGGATGTTAAATGACAGTATTGATACATACAGTGAGCGAAAAAAGTATTTGATCCTCTGCTGATTTTGTACGTTTGCCCTCTGACAAAGACATGATCAGTCTATCATTTTAATGGTAGGTTTATTTGAACAGTGAGAGACAGAATAACAACAAAAAAATCCAGAAAAACGAATGTCAAAAATGTTATAAATTGATTTCCATTTTAATGTGGGAAATAAGTATTTGACCCCTCTGAAAAACATGACTTAGTACTTGGTGGCAAAACCCTTGTTGGCAATCACAGAGGTCAGACATTTTTTGTAGTTGGCCACCAGGTTTGCACACATCTCAGGAGGGATTTTGTCCCACTCCTCTTTGCAGATCTTCTCCAAGTCATTAAGGTTTCGAGGCTGACGTTTGGAAACTCGAACATTCAGCTCCCTCCACAGATTTTCTATGGGATTAAGGCCTGGAGACTGGCTAGGCCACTCCAGGACCTTAATGTGCTTCTTCTTGAGCCACTCCTTTGTTGCCTTGGCCGTGTGTTTTGGGTCATTGTCATGCTGGAATACCCATCCACGACCCATTTTCAATGCCCTGGCTGAGGGAAGGAGGTTCTCACCCAAGATTTGACGGTACATGGCCCCGTCCATCGTCCCTTTGATGCGGTGAAGTTGTCCTGTCCCCTTAGCAGAAAAACACCCCCAAAGCATAATGTTTCCACCTCCATGTTTGACGGTGGGGATGGTGTTCTTGGGGTCATAGGCAGCATTCCTCCTCCTCCAAACACGGCGAGTTGAGTTGATGCCAAAGAGCTCGATTTTGGTCTCATCTGACCACAACACGTTCACCCAGTTCTCCTCTGAATTATTCAGATGTTCATTGGCAAACTTCAGATGGGCCTGTATATGTGCTTTCTTGAGCAGGGGGACCTTGCGGGCGCTGCAGGATTTGGTGTTCTCGGGGTGATGAGAGGTGTTGGGTTTGCGCCAGATATAGCATTTTTCTTGATGGCCAAAAAGCTCAATTTTAGTCTCATCTGACCAGAGTACCTTCTTCCATATGTTTGGGGAGTCTCCCACATGCCTTTTGGCGAACACCAAATGTGTTTGCTTATTTTTTTCTTTAAAAATAGGCTTTTTCTTGCCACTCTTCCGTAAAGCCCAGCTCTGTGGAGTGTATGGCTTAAAGTGGTCCTATGAACAGATACTCCAATCTCCGCTGTGGAGCTTTGTAGCTCCTTCAGGGTTATCTTTGGTCTCTTTGTTGCCTCTCTGATTAATGTCCTCCTTGCCTGGTCTGTGACTTTTGGTGGGTGGCCCTCTCTTGGCAGGTTTGTTGTGGTGCCATATTCTTTCCAATTTTTTTATAATGGATTTTATGGTGCTCCGTAGGATGTTCAATGTTTCTGATATTTTTTTATAACCCAACCCCGATCTGTACTTCTCCACAACTTTGTCCCTGACCTGTTTGGAGAGCTCCTTGGTCTTCATGGTGCCGCTTGCTTGGTGGTGCCCCTTGCTTAGTGGTGTGGCAGACTCTGGGGCCTTTGAGAACAGGTGTATATATACTGAGATCATGTGACAGATCATGTGACACTTAGATTGCACCCAAGTGGACTTTATTTAACTAATTATGTGACTTCTGAAAGTAATTGGTTGCACCAGATCATATTTAGGGGCTTAATAGCAAAGGGGGTGAATACATATGCACGCACCACTTTTCCGTTATTTATTTTGTAGAATTTTTTGAAACAAGTTATTTTTTTCATTTCACTTCACCAATTTGGACTATTTTGTGTATGTCCATTACATGAAATCCAAATATAAATTTATTTAAATTACAGGTTGTAATGCAACAAAATAGGAAAAACGCCAAGGGGGATGAATACTTTTGTAAGGCACTGTATACTTAACAAATTACCAGACAATCGTGAGCTGGCATTTGTAGGTTAAATACTGTGGATGTTATCCATACATATCTTACTTTTGTTGAAAGTATAAATTATATTATAAACTGTGTGGTTCGAGCCCTGAAAGCTGATTGGCTGACAGCCATGGTATATCAGACCGTATACTATGGGTATGACAAAACATTTATTTTTACTGCCCTAATTACATTGGTAACCAGTTTATAATAGCAATAAGGCACCTCGGGGGTTTGTGGTACAGTGGGGAAAAAAAGTATTTAGTCAGCCACCAATTGTGCAAGTTCTCCCACTTAAAAAGATGAGAGAGGCCTGTAATTTTCATCATAGGTACACGTCAACTATGACAGACAAATTGAGAATTTTTTTCCCAGAAAATCACATTGTAGGATTTGTAATGAATTTATTTGCAAATTATGGTGGAAAATAAGTATTTGGTCACCTACAAACAAGCAAGATTTCTGGCTCTCACAGATCTGTAACTTCTTCTTTAAGAGGCTCCTCTGTCCTCCACTCGTTACCTGTATTAATGGCACCTGTTTGAACTTGTTATCAGTATAAAAGATACCTGTCCACAACCTCAAACAGTCACACTCCAAACTCCACTATGGCCAAGACCAAAGAGCTGTCAAAGGACACCAGAAACAAAATTGTAGACCTGCACCAGGCTGGGAAGACTGAATCTGCAATAGGTAAGCAGCTTGGTTTGAAGAAATCAACTGTGGGAGCAATTATTAGGAAATGGAAGACATACAAGACCACTGATAATCTCCCTCGATCTGGGGCTCCACGCAAGGTCTCACCCCGTGGGGTCAAAATGATCACAAGAACGGTGAGCAAAAATCCCAGAACCACACGGGGGGACCTAGTGAATGACCTGCAGAGAGCTGGGACCAAAGTAACAAAGCCTACCATCAGTAACACACTACGCCGCCAGGGACTCAAATCCTGCAGTGCCAGACGTGTCCCCCTGCTTAAGCCAGTACATGTCCAGGCCCGTCTGAAGTTTGCTAGAGTGCATTTGGATGATCCAGAAGAGGATTGGGAGAATGTCATATGGTCAGATGAAACCAAAATATAACTTTTTGGTAAAAACTCAACTCGTCGTGTTTGGAGGACAAAGAATGCTGAGTTGCATCCAAAGAACACCATACCTACTGTGAAACATGGGGGTGGAAACATCATGCTTTGGGGCTGTTTTTCTGCAAAGGGACCAGGACGACTGATCCGTGTAAAGGAAAGAATGAATGGGGCCATGTATCGTGAGATTTTGAGTGAAAACCTCCTTCCATCAGCAAGGGCATTGAAGATGAAACGTGGCTGGGTCTTTCAGCATGACAATGATCCCAAACACACCGCCCGGGCAACGAAGGAGTGGCTTTGTAAGAAGCATTTCAAGGTCCTGGAGTGGCCTAGCCAGTCTCCAGATCTCAACCCCATAGAAAATCTTTGGAGGGAGTTGAAAGTCTGTGTTGCCCAGCGACAGCCCCAAAACATCACTGCTCTAGAGGAGATCTGCATGGAATGGGCCAAAATACCAGCAACAGTGTGTGAAAACTTGTGAAGACTTACAGAAAACATTTGACCTGTGTCATTGCCAACAAAGTGTATATAACAAAGTATTGAGAAACTTTTGTTATTGACCAAATACTTATTTTCCACCATAATTTGCAAATAAATTCATTAAAAATCCTACAATGTGATTTTCTGTATTTTTTTCCTCATTTTGTCTGTCATAGTTGACGTGTACCTATGATGAAAATTACAGGCCTCTCTCATCTTTTTAAGTGGGAGAACTTGCACAATTGGTGGCTGACTAAATACTTTTTTCCCCCACTGTATATGGCCAATATACCATGGCTATGGGCTGTATCCAGGCAGTCCGCGTTGCGTCGTGCATAAGAACAGCCCTTAGCCATGGTATATTGGCCATATACCACACCCCCTCATAACTTATTGCTTAAGTAAACATCCCCCAACCTCCTGAGTCCTATACTACGAATCAGGTTTGAGGAGTTAGCGAGGTAACTTTGGTCAACTCAGAGTTCAACTTGGGATAACCGGTCACACAATGTGGCTCACCAGGTACATTTCTATGGCAACGAATCCCTCAGTACTAACCTGGTCTGGGTCAGGCTAACTCAGGGCTAACTCCACTTATCATGAATGAAGTGTCTGAGCCATGAGTTGAGGACAAATTAAATCATATTCCCTCCCTCTCGCAAAGATTGCGTCATCATCCCTTTCCTCGCTGATTAAATATTTTATTACATGTTTTTTTGTGTTAAAAATAGTCACATTAAACTTGACTTATTGCACATTTTGTTGTGTTACAGCCTGAATTCAAAATTGATTAAATATATATTTTTCTCACCCATCTAGACCTAATACCCCAAAATGACAAAGTGAAAACATGTTTTTTAGAAATGTTTGCTAATTTATTGAAAATGAAATACAGAAATATAAGTATTCACAGTCAATACATGACCTTTGGCCGCAATTACAGCTGTGAGTCTTTACTGGGTAAGTCTCTAAGAGCTTTGCACACCTGGATTGTACAATATTTGCACATTATTCTTCAAATAATTCTTCAAGCTCTGTCAAGTTGGTTGTTGATCATTTCTAGACAGCCATTTTCAAGTCTTGCCATAGATTTTCAAGCCGATTTAAGTCAAAACTGTAACTCGGCCACACAGGAACATTCAATGTCGTCTTGTTAAGCAACTCCAGTGTATATTTGTCCTTGTGTTTTAGGTTATTGTCCTGCTGAAAGGTGAATAGGTCTCCCAGTGTCTGTTGAAAAGCAAACTGAACCAGGTTTTCCTCTAGGATTTTGCCTTTGCTTAGCTCTACGTTTCTTTTTATCCCCAAAAAACGTCCTTGCTGATGACAAGCATACCCATAACATGATGCAGCCACCACTATGCTTGAAAGTATGGAGAGTGGTACTCCGTAATCTGTTGTGTTGGATTTGCCCCAAACATAACGCTTTGTATTCAGGACATAAAGTTAATTTATTTGTCCCATTCTTTGCAGTATTACTTTAGTACCTTATTGAAAACAGGAAGAATGTTTTGTAATATTTTTATTCTGTACAGGACTCCTTCTTTTCACTCTGTCATTTAGGTTAGTATTGTGGAGTAACTACAATGTTGTTGATCTATCCTCAGTTTTCTCCTATCACAGCCATTATACTCTGTAACTGTTTCAAAGTCACCATTGGCCTCATGGTGAAATCCCTGAGCGGATTCCTTCCTCTCCAGCAACTGAGTTAGGAAGGACGCCTGTATCTTTGTAGTGACTGGGTGTACTGATACACCATCCAAAGTGTAATTAATGACTTCACCGCGCTCAAAGGGATATTCAATGTCTGCTTTTTTTTATTTTTTACCCATCTACCAATAGGTGCCCTTCTTTGCGAGGCATTGCAAAACCTCCCTGGTCTTTGTGGTTGAATATGTGTTTGAAATTCACTGCTTGACTGAGGGACCTTACAGATAATTGTATGTGTGGGGTACAGAGATGTGGTTGTCATACAAAAATAATGTTAAACACTATTATTGCACACAGAGTGAGTCCGCGCATCTTATCATGTAACTTGTTAAGCAAATTTACACTAATCGTTCAAAAGTTTGGGGTCACTTAGAAATGTCCTTGTTTTCGAAAAAAATAAAGCAATTTATTTCTCCATTAAAATAACATGAAATTGATCAGAAATACAGTGTAGACATTGTTAATGTTGTAAATGGCTATTGTAGCTGGAAATGGCTGATTTTTAGTGGAATATCTACATAGGTGTAACAAAGTCCCATTATCAGCAACCATCAGTATTGTGTTCCAATGGCACGTTGTGTTTGCTAATCCAAGTTTATCATTTTAAAAGGCTAATTGATCATTAGAAAACCCTTTTGCAATTATGTTAGCACAGCTGAAAACTGTTGTGCTGATTAAAGAAGCAATAAAACTGGCTATAACCAGAATAGAAAGAGGAGTGGGAGGCCCCGGTGCACAACTGGGATGCTGACCTTCTAGGCAGAGTTGCAAAGAAAAAGCCATATCTCAGACTGGCCAATAAAAAGAAAAGATTAAGATGGACATTCTGAGATATGGCTTTTTCTTTGCAACTCTGCCTAGAAGGTCAGCATCCCGGAGTCGCCACTTCACTGTTGACGTTGAGACTGGTGTTTTGCGGGTACTATTTAATGAAGCTGCCAGTTGAGGACCTGTGAGGCTCCTGTTTCTCAAACGAGACACTCTAATGTATTTGTCCTCTTGCTCAGTTGTGCACCGGGGCCTCCCACTCCTCTTTCTATTCTGGTTATAGCCAGTTTGCGCTGTTCTGTGAAGGGAGTAGTATACAGCGTTGTACGAGATTTTTACATTATGGGGTATTGTGTGTAGGCCAGAGACACAAAATCTTAATTTAATACGTTTTAAATTCAGGCTGTAACACAACAAAATGTGGAAAAAGTCAAGGGGTGTGAATACTTTCTGAAGGCACTGTATCACATTACACATTTAGTGACAGGATGTTGAAACTTCACCCACAGTAAAACCTTTGTATGACTTATTTTATCGATAGGAGTGTGAAAAAAGGTGCTTGTGCATTGATAAGCACACCAAAGACGGCATTAACGATACATAATAAAGAAAAACGTCACTTCCTATTTCACACCATAGCCTGCTGAGTTCACAAGATAACTTTTCTTTCATGTTGATTTCTAAAAGAAAATGCAAATGTGGCACTGACTCGCCATGGATTGATGTCTCAGCATTGTCTCAATGAAGAGTTCGGCATTCAACTAGTCACGCGCAGTTACACGCCTGCAAGAGTTTGCGGCAGGCGGACGAGCAATATCCACAGTCATAATACGGATGAAGCCTGAGCTGGAATGTGAAAATTATTGAAGCTGAGTAGATCTAGCTAGCGTTGTAGTGTTACCACTCTGGTCTTTTATTTGCCACCAACTACCGTAAATGAACAACTTATGAGTGGGATATGAGTGGGAGTATTGTGAGTGAATAGTGTTGTGAGAGTTCAAAGTATAAATAGAAAATGCAAAGATGCTACATATACCTGTGTAGTCGCCATAGAGCTATATCTCATGTTGTGTAATATAATTAATAGGGCAGTACCCTGGGCATGGCATCTTTCCTTGTGTTTGGTGCTACCATCTTAACCAGAAACTGTCTGTTGTCAACCAGCTGTCTTTAAGAACTATACTCCCTGAGCAAAACACTGCCCATTGCAAGACCTCCCCTCTTCTCCTTTGTACTGTCCCAAACCTTCCACTAACCTCAGCAAGCTGTAGTCCTCTCTAACACCTTTCCCTTTGCCCGCCCAGTGACTCTCCTCCCTATGACCTGTCCCTTTTACCCTCTGAGTGTGGCCTGTCCCCTCTCCCCTGGTCCACTGCACTGTGAGCTCTGTTCACCCTGTGGTCCTGAATGTAGCGCGTCTCTTGCAGAGGAAGGGGTCAGCAGCAACCCCTGGAGCGGCCCCGTCACCGTGCCCACAGGGAGGGGGCCCCAGGGCAGGGGCCGAGCAGTGGAGGACCCCAGTAGAAACAGGAGAGCTCATCCCAATTGGGCAATTCTGGGTAATTAACATCAAGACATACAGGATGCACGACAGCAAGTGGGTGTGTAAAGGTGTGTGTGTATTCGTGTGTGTGAATGCATGTGTGTGTGAGTGTGAGAGACAGAGAGAAAGAAAAGAAAGAAAGAAAGAAAAGAAAGAAAGAAGAAAGAAGAAAGAAAGAAAGAAGAAGAAAGAAAGAAAGAAAGAAAGAAAGAAATGAAAGAAATAAAGAAAGAAGAAGAAGAAAGAAGGGTGTTGGGGTGGGGTGGGGTGGGGTGGGGTGGGGTGGTTAAGAAGGTTTATCAGGAGTTGATGAGATATGTTGTGATATTGTGTTTTTGCATTTGTTTGTGGTTGATTTGTAGACTGCTGTGGGATGAAATCCTTCTATCCTTTTTTATAATAGGGTTTTGTAGCAAATATCAATAAGATTATAACACAAAATTACAGTATGTAGTCTTTAGTCTATATCATCCAGCCCTAAGATAAATCGTTTTCTGGGTGTAGCAGGATTGTAGCATCCTTGGGAAATAGTTTTAGAGCAGATGCGGTCTATGCTCAAGCCCTGGAGAGCAGAGAGAGAGGATGGGGAGATGTCATGCTTTACTACCCTGGACCATTTTACATACCCAGAGTATTAGAAAGATTACCAATGTAAATAATTGATGTGGTTTTCTCAGTGGCTGTGTGTGGATAAGGCCAGTGGGGTAGTGCATGAAACATTTAGGGAGCGTTAGATTCACCTTAAACGTCAATCAGTGTTTACCCACCTATTTCACCACTACATCACTGGATGCACACACACGCACACACACCAAACACCAATACCCACACCCAGTGTCGTGCTTGCTCTCTGTGTTGCTAAAGGGGTGATCACATCAGTGAAGCTGAGAGGCTGAATCAGACTGAGCGTTCAGGGGGACCTGGGGGGTCATAACTCACTTCCACTCACTGTATGAAGTGCCAAAACACTGGTTCATTCTCACACTGAGCAATTGGAATACATACAATTTACAAACCCTCATGAAGGCAAATCTGCAACAAATGCATCACATGCTCACATACAAATGCATCACAATGTGCGGGCTGGGGGGCATTGTAAATTATGTGGCTAAGAATGTTGTGCTCTTTAGATCAAAGCATTCCGCCTAACTTATTCACTCTCCCACAAACAAACCTCAATCTAAAACTAAACACCTTATTCAGTGTAATGCAATTAAGTGTTTGGTTGTATCGTGGCCCTCCTACTCACTATGAATGAATGCCCACATGAAAAAAGACTACAGTTGACTATAGAATACTACAGTAGTACTTACTATAGAATTCTATAGTAAACTGTAATGTACTATAGAATACTATACTATACACTGTGGTATCCCTCGATCATGTGTAGGACCTACTATAGAATGGTGTAGTATACTGTAGAATGCTATAGTAAATACTCCAGTATAATCAGCAAAAACAACAGTGTAGTAAATACTACAGTAATGTCTGCAAAAACACTAGTCTGCAAAAACATTACACTTTTTTAACAATAGTAAATACTACAGCATTTAATTTGCAGATACCTTGCCCATTCCCTTCTCCCCCATAACGCAAATATTGTGTTCACTACAGGTTATATAAAAGAGTAAATACAGTAAAGTCTGCAAAAACACTACAATGAATACTATAGAATTGTTCCATGTGGAAATTTACTAATCTCACTCAGCAGACGATAAATGAACCACAGTAGTGAGACGGAGGGACCGTTTCCGTAATGATCTACAAGAGTGACAAGAGTTTTCCAATAAAAACAGTTTCACGCCAGTGTTTGTCGTCTTATACTGGAGCATTGTGGTAGTGAAAACAGTGTTGTTCCGTCTGATTTAATGGGATTAAAAGGCAAAACATGTCACACTTTATTAGTTAAATGTAAACAGAGCCAGTGATAATATAACCAGGGATTATAACAGTCTGACAGGGTATTGAAGGTGCAGTAGCCCTGCTAAATGTGGTACAGCCTTATCATTTTGTTTTGATAGGTGTTAGATTCAGCAGGGAGTGTGTGAAGTTATCTCCACCTCTCAGTGGCTTACAGTGGCGCTGTTTTAATAACTCTGCCAAGTGTGTGAGCGAGCGAGAGCCAGGGCCCTCAGGGAGGCACATTCAGATTAATTAAAAACTAAAATCCCCAGAATGTTGTTAGTCATTGTTGAAGTTAAAATGAATGAGGCTGTGGGCTTCCCGTAAAGAGAGTTTTGGAAATATTAATCAAATTATTAAAGCAGATGTATTGTTTTATGTAATTAGTCATTTAAAGCATCACATCCTGCTGGGTTCGCAACAGGGTACATGTACTTTTTGTGTGGAAGTTTATAGCATATCCCGATGAGGTTGTTGCTGTTTTAACCATGATAAAGGGACATCCCTATTATATCAGAATGGATGGTAAATCATAGTTGACTTTGATATGATTTTGTAATCCTCATATATAGATAATCTAGGGAAATGCCTGGGAAATCAGACCTGTGTTTCTTTCAACACTATTTTAAATGCCATTCCATTCATTTGTGTTTTGGACAATCCTCAATTAAGAATTGACTTAAAAAAAGATAGCTCACACAGATTCCAGACTGAGTAGAACATATTGTTATTTGATGGTGTTAATATTTGTACTTTTGTAGTGTACATACTGTGCATTCGGAAAGTATTCAGACCCCTTGACTTTTTCCACATTTTGTTACGTTACAGCGTTATTTTAAAATTGATTAAATCGTTTTTTTCCCCCTCATTAAACTACAAACAATACCCCATAATGACAAAGCAAAAACAGTTTATTTTATTTTTAGGAAATGTATAATGATTTTGAAACTGAAAATCACATTTACATAAGTATTCAGACCCTTTACTCAGTACCTTGTTGAAGCACCTTTGACAGTGATTACAGCATCGAGTCTTCTAAGGTATGATGCTACAAGCTTGGCACACCTGTATTTGGGGAGTTTCTCCCATTCTTCTCTGCAGCTCCCCTCAAGCTCTGTCAGGTTGGATGGGGAGCGTCGCTGCACAGCTATTTTCAGGTCTCTCTAGAGATGTTCGATTGGGTTCAAGTCCGGGCTCTGGCTGGGCCACTCAAGGACATTCAGAGACTTGTCCCAAAGCCACTCCTGCGTTGTCTTGGCTGTGTGCTTAGGGTTGTTGTCCTGTTGGAAGGTGAACCTTCGCCCCAGTCTGAGGTCCTGAGCACTCTGGAGCAGGTTTTCATCAAGGATCTCTCTGTACTTTGCTCCGTTCAGCTTTCCCTCAATCCTGACTAGTCTACCAGTCCCTGCCGCTGAAAAACATCCCCACAGCATGATAGTGCCACCACCATGCTTCACTGTAGGGATGGTGCCAGGTTTCCTCCAGACATGACGCTTGGTATTCAGGCCAAAGAGTTCAATCTTGGTTTCATCAGACCAGAGAATCTTGTTTGTTGTGGTCTGAGTGCTTTAGGTGATTTTTGGCAAACTCCAAGTGGGCTGTCATGTGCCTTAACTAAGGAGTGGCTTCCGTCTGGCCACTCTACCATAAAGGCCTGATTGGTGGAGTGCTGCAGAGATGGTTGTCCTTCTGGAAGGTTCTCACATCTCCACAGAGGATCTCTGGAGCTCTGTCAGAGTGACCATCGGGATCTTGGTCCTGACCAAGGCCCTTCTCCGCCGATTGCTCAGTTTGGTCGGGAGGCCAGCTCTAGGAAGAGTCTTGATGGTTCCAAACTTCTTCCATTTAAGAATTATGGAGGCCACGGTGTTCTTGGGAACTTTCAATGCTGCAGAAATTTTTTGGTACCCTTCCCCAGATCTGTGCCTCGACACAATTCTGTCTCTAAGCTCTACAGACAATTCAACCGACCTCATGGCTTGGTTTTGTACTGTCAACTGTGGGACCTTATATAGACAGATGTGTGCTTTCCAAATTATGTCCAATTCAATTCAATCAAGTTGTAGAAACATCTCAAGGATGATCAATGGAAACAGGATGCACCTGAGCTTAATTTTGAGTCTCATAACAAAGGGTCTGAATACTTATGTAAATAAGGGATTTCTATTTTTTATTTTTAATAAATTAGCAAAAATGCTAAAAACCTGTTTTCGCTTTGTCATTATGGGGTATTGTGTGTAGATTGATGAGGAATATATATATTTTTAATCCATTTTAGAATAAGGCTGTAACATAACAAAACGTAGAAAAAGTCAAGGGGTCTAAATACTTTCTGAATGCACTGTATTGTACTTTCGATGAAATTCACCCTATTAGCTATGGGTGTAATGGTTCACCAAACCCACAGTTCGGTACATATTGCGATTTTGGGGTCACGGTTCGGTTCGGTTTTGGTACAGCTGGAAAATATAATGCCATTCACAATGTTCAGCAATGTCTATTGGCCAACAAACTGTGTCAACCATAAACTGAAAAGTAAGCTATCATGTTTGTAAAGAAATTATACAGTGCCTTGCGAAAGTATTCACCCCGCTTGGCATTTTTCCTATTTTGTTGCCTTACAACCTGGAATATAAATTGATTTTTGGGGGGTTTGTATCATTTGATTTACACAACATGCCTACCACTTTGAAGATGCAACATTTTTTGGGGGTGAAACAAACAAGAAATAAGACCAAAAAAAATAAAACCTGAGCGTGCATAACTATTCTGCCCCCCCCCAAAGTCAATACTTTGTAGAGCCACCTTTTCCAGCAATTACGGCTGCAAGTCTCTTGGGGTATGTCTCTATAAGCTTGGCACATCTAGCCACTGGGATTTCAAGGCAAAACTGCTCCAGCTCCTTCAAGTTGGATGGGTTCCGCTGGTGTACAGCAATCTTTAAGTCATACCACAGATTCTCAATTGGATTGAGGTCTGGGCTTTGACTAGGCTATTCCAAGACATTATAAATGTTTCCCCTTAAACCACTCAAGTGTTGCTTTAGCAGTATGCTTAGGGTCATTGTCCTGCTGGAAGGTGAACCTCCGTCCCAGTCTCAAATCTCTGGAAGACTGAAACAG